GTCGTTATCATAACATTCTTATGTTTAATTATAAAATACTAATAATGATACATGCCTTGTAAGATTGAGTAACAATGATATATGAACAACAGATTTAGAGACAAATGAATGCCTTGAAAACAATGGTGGGTGCTGGAAGGATTCAACATCATCATCAAATATAACAGCATGCAAGGTATTATTTATTGCCAACCAAGATTTGCACATTTATATATATGCATATAGTTTGCAATATCGAGTCTGATGTGATGTATGTTTGCTTAATAATTAATTGAAGGACACGTTCAGAGGAAGAGTTTGTGAGTGCCCCATGGTCAGTGGTGTTCAGTATGAAGGAGATGGATATACGTCATGTGAAGGTGCTTGCAAAACATTAATATATATTGTCTGTTATAACTTATAATGTTCAGTAATGTTGATGAATGAATGCAGATGTGGATGAATGCAAGGAAGGTACCGGTTGCCAGTGTGAAGGGTGCAGCTGTAAGAACACATGGGGTGGGTTTGACTGCAACTGTAATAGAGGTAAACTCTACATTAAGGAGCAGGACACCTGTATCGGTAAGTTTTCATATTCTTGATTCTTCAATACTCATCATCATCATCAGGAATTTTATATGTTGTGTGAATAAATGAATGTTTCTTCCTATTTATATGTTGTGTGAATAAATGAATGTACAGAAAGGAACAACTCTTACCTTGGTGGTGGTGGCCGTGGCATTGGGTGCCGGAGTAGCTGGTTACATATTCTACAAATACAGATTCCGGGTAAGTCTATTACACACGTACATCTAATTTGTTTTCTATTGCAAATATAGACAGATATAGTAATTACGTGTTTTTGTATGTGGCTGGTGTTGCAGTCTTATATGGACTCGGAGATCATGGCTATCATGTCACAGTATATGCCACTCGACAGCAACCAGAATCAGTCTCTTATCCACCACGAACATGACGACCCCCTAACAACACACACTTCTTCTGTTTAAGCCTTAAGCTGCCGAGTGACAATGACGAGACACTTTTTACACAGCCAATAGCTTAAATACTTGCGTTTATTATTAAACATACAAAAGATTGTAGGACATTTTACTTGATCTGTATATAGATTGTTTTTGAGTTGTAAACATGGCAACAAATAAGAATTATACACGCCAGCCCATTTATACATTCAGACTTTTCATTCCACTTTTACTTTTTTTTTTTTTAACTTCATAGTAATTGGAGTTCAAGCAACCGTGCAATCTTTTGCAACAGACGAAATTACCACTGATATATAGGAATCTATTAATTCCTAACACAGACAAACCATATATAATAAATCAGATCACTTAAAAATTGATACCAAGATCTGTGAAGAAGATAAACCATAAAAAGTTAATAAGCACAGATACACACACAAACTACTTTGTGCGTGTTTGTGTGTGTTTTCTTCTATCTCTAGCTTCCAAGCTGTTTTGGCTGTTTTGGATCAGAGGAACGTAAGAAGTTGAATTTTGCATTTCCATCATTGCTTATAATAATTCTCTTCTCAAACTCTGGTCCATTCTTCGCCACAAACTGAGTAGTTTTGTCTACAATATTTCTGATGTCCGGAGGGGGGTAAATAATTCCTATAGTCCTTGTATGTGTTGCTACAGATGCTGGAGCTGAGTTGGAGTTATCATCAACATTCATCTGATCTTCATCAGTCGAGTCCTCAACCACTTGAGCGGGTGGTAACGGGCCAAGATTCCCATCAGTAGGTGGTGCCGGAAGGGGCAATATTGGCAAATCACCCAGCATTTCTTTATCTGCAAACAACAACCACGAGGAGATAACTCGATCAACACTATTACCCCGCGACGAGACAACTCCCACGAGGAGATAATTCGCTACTACATCGTCGCGGGACAAAACCGACGACTCAATTAACTTACATCGCGACAACTTGGTCGCGCTACGCGCCAACGCGCATTCACGCTCCTCCGACACACGCTCGAACGCGTTATCACACACCATTGACTACTACAATTTTTTCTCTCGACACGATATGTCGCCCATTTCAACATGACCCCCACATCGACTCGAGAGTGGGGGGCTTAATGATATGCCTAATTGGCCCAACCCAATGGGCCTACAAATTATTTACCTACTGGGCCACGAGCCCAATATCGAAGACCATTATCACCAAGGTCCAATCACCTTCAAGTAAGGTTTGGGCCCGACAATCTCAACTAAGCTATAAATAAAGGTTTGAACTCATTCCTTAAGGTACGTCCTATTAACTGAGCAATACTATTAACCGTATTCTCTGGACTATTTCCGCTATCAGCACGTCTGATTTGAGCGTCGGAGGGGTTTCCGCCGGATCAACCCCCGGCGTAGTTCACGTGTGTTCATTTCGCAGGTACCTCAGGATCATCAAGTTGTCAAGCTACTGATCTGCTTTGCTCTTCCAGTTCGTTTTCTACACTACCCCAGGTGATCTAAGTAATTAGCATCATCAATAATTATTGTGGCCAAGTAAAGAAAAAGAATGGAATTATACATTCGAAAAGACAATAACAGGATCAAAATGAAATGTTCGAACTATAGTGAGCGGAAATAGAGATAAAAGTAGAGAGTAGTCCCTCGTTAGATCGAGTTGACGTCGTTTTCACAAGTCCCTTTTTTTTACAATTCAAAATTTGTAAAATATTTCAGTAATACAAGTAGTTGACAACAAAGACAACCCAAAATTCTAATCTACCATTCTTTCAAACTCGTTATTTCCTTCATCAAATACGGGCAACTGCTTTCTTTTTTTGGATAAGTTAGTGGAGTCCGTGAACTGAGCAGCCGTTCTAACCCGTAATTCCTCTAAAGTTTCACCTTCCTTGGCTCTCTCAAGAACCTGCAAACCAATCAGCAGTAAGTATTCAACTCAACTTATTCGCAAAACATTTCATTTTTTTTGTCTCCACTTTAAAAAATGTACCAAGTGACGACCGTAGAGATGGGTGTTGGAAAGAGCTTCAAGTGCATTCCTAGCTTCCTGTTTCGTCATATACTCTATAAATGCAAAACCCCTATGTTTCCCAATCCTCATTGGCAACCTTAATCTCTTTATCTGCAACAATACAGCACAACTCAAAACCTTATAATTCAAAACAATTAAAATCATTTTATCATATGACGACGAGAGGGAAAGGAGATTATACCTGTCCGAATGGACTGAATAGTAGTCTGAGATCCTTTTCTGTGGCCTCAAAAGCTACATTCCTTACAATCAACTTTGTAGAACTCTTGTCATTTCCAACTTTTTTAGGCAATACTGCATCCTTTTTAGCATGACAGAGTTGTAATATGAGGGCATGCCCATCCAATACAGTTCCCTGAAGCAATAATCACAAGGGTAAGGCACTCGTTTCATAGTAAAAGACAATGGACATAAAATTTCTCCTACGTGCTTCATGTTGACCATAATTAGCAGCCGGGAATAATACCTGCAGGTCCCTGCAAACTTTCACTGCTGTATCAATAGAATCAAACTCTATGAAACCAAACCCCATCGAAACATTTTTTCCGTTCTTCATATGCTTCTTCACCTACAGTAGCATATAGAAATGAAACTCGTAAAATCAAGCATATAGAGAAGGCAATTAGTAGTTATGATCTGAAGCAGATAGAGACAAGAAAGAATACCCTGACACTTAGTATATTCCCTCCATTCATGTGCTCCGCGAAATGCGTTTTCAAATTCTCATCAGATGATCTGAAGTTCAGGTTCTTAACATACAAAGAGCGTGACTGCATCACAGAACATATCACAACAATTTAACACCTGAATTAGTACATTTTTGGGAATCTAAAGCAACTCAATGAAGCACGAGACACCCTCATGCAACAGTTCGGGAAAAAAATAAAGTCAGCTTTGACATAATTTTTCCCTTTTTCATCAGAAACGTAGTATCAACATAGCAGTTTAAAGCAATTCGACAGAAATCACAATAGGCAAGTGATTATTTTGAGTAAGCTTCCGGCAGAAGATACATGAAACAATTCCAGTAGGCATACAAGAAATTTTACGTGAAATTTCCATGTTTTACAAGGAAAGGTAGGGTTAAGACTAAACAAAACTAAGTCCAGAAAATAACCTCAATTCTATCAGGGTAAATCTCCAAGCTTAAATCATTAAAAAATATTTAATGCACTCCTAATATTTAAGTATCCGCTAAATGGAATTAAGAAAAAGCAAAAGCACACCCATCTTTACAATCCAAGTCTTCATCCCATAAAAAATAACAACCAATTTAGTTGTGATATCGCTCAACATATGTGGCACCGTGATCTTTCAAGATTCACTCATGTTCTCCATTTTCATTCAATAACCTGTTCTATTTCATCATAGTCTTAACATCTTAATAAGGTACCATCAAATTGGATGCAATAATAGCACATACAATGTGATACAACAATTTGAAAGCGCTAACAACTAACTGCTAACTCAACTTACTTGTACCGCTTGTATGCTAAACCTCTGAAAGCTGTCCGAGCATTAGCAGGTTCTAGAAAGATAACCTGGTTGGTATCAAAAGTTCCAATGAGAAATATATATGACATATTATGGGTAAATTGGATATTGTAAGATGCTGTTTTTCATTCACACTCTGCATCTTTTAAAATCACTACTGCACCGAGTAAATAAGAGCATCCGATATAAGTTAGAACTTGCACATGCTCATTTACATCGCACAAGGTGTATCCAGGAAACCGCCAGTGAAGCATAATGAAAGATAGTTGCATTGTTCAAGTTGCAATTGCAATAAAATCAGCAAATTTTCATATCTATGTATCGGAGTCATTAGACATTGTTCTTTATCACCCAAGGATAAAAAATGTACCTCTATATTTCGGACTCATACCCATACTACATATTGTCAAACTCAACTAAAAATGCAAGCCATTTGCCAGGTATTTCAATGTCAGTCCAAAACAAAGAATCATAAAGCCAAATAAATATACAAATACTAGATAATTATAGGTTGGAGATTTGCACTGTTTTTTTGTAAATTGATGCGGAGAGTCGTAGTTTATAGAGAGCAACTTCATGTATAATAATATTATGTATGTTCTGTTAAGAAATTCAAATAGAATTAAGGTTGCTCATCATCTCTATTATAAATTCATGTCCTTAAATGGGATAATTACAGTTTTGGTCCCCCAAGTTTGCATGTTTTTCACTTTTGGTCCCCCATTTACTGTCGTCAACAAAATACACTCTAATATTGTCACATTTTAACACATTTAGTCCTCCGTCTGTTTGACCGTCAAGAAGTAACGGCCAACTGTTGAATTAGGGCTGAATTTGAGATTTTTCATAGATAAAAATTGCACTCAGACCCCACCATTCTTTTAAAATATTCTAAAAACCCCTAAAATTTTATTCAACACTAATTTAACCCCAATTTCATCATTTAATCAATTTTCACAAACGACCCCGATTTATACAACCATTACCGCTGACCGTTGACCGCCGTTGATTTCTTCTTTTTACTTTTCTTTTTCGGCATTGAATTTTTTATTTAATATTGATTTTGACGCTGTTCACCAACATTGTATTCTCGGTTAACAATGTTGAATTTTTTTTTTTCTTTTTTTTTTTTTATGAACTTTTTCCTGTGACTTTTTTTTCCGATCAACACAATTACTGTATAACAAAATAAATACTATAATATCTAGTATCGTAGTATTAAAATTACAAACTTCTAAAAAAGTTTTTATCTAAAATTCTAGGTCCTAAATACAATTTAAAAAAATTCTAAAATCTATAATTTGTTCCCCTCAATTTTTTCTTCGTGGTACCGCCAGTGCATCCCAAAATTCTTCCCAAAAAAATATGAAGAAGATGAATTCGGCATGCGCGGAGAAATTTGGAATAAGATAATTACTACTCTAGTACAACGATTTTTGGGACTAACACCGGCCGTTAATTTTTATCTCTTTTTCTGTCTTAAAATTTTTCCGTTATTGAGATGCGTTGACTTTTTCCTTTTTCTTTATTTGACTTTTTATGATATAATTTTCTCGCCGATTATCAGCTTTTAATTTTTTTAAATTATATTTTTCCATTACTAAACTATTAAAATGAAAATAAAATAAAAATCAAGAAAAAAATGTCAATGTTGTTAACCCGACATTGAACATCGGTCAACAACGGAAAAAAAAAGATCAATCGACAAAATAGTCAACTGAGTTAAAAAAAGAAAAGTCAACGTCAGTTTACCCAATTTCGGAAAATCGGGGTCATTGGTTAAAATTGGTTAATTGATGAAATTTGGCTTAAATTATGGTTGGATAAAATTTTAGAGGTTTTTAGAAAATTTTAAAAGAATACAGGGGTCTTTTTGCAATTTTCTCAAAGAAAAACCCCAAATTCAACCGTTGTAACAGGTCAAACAGACGGAGGGACTAAATGTGTTAAAATGAATGTGTATTTTGTTGACGGTTGTAAATGAGGGACCGAAAGTAAAAAACGTGTAAACCTGGGGGACCAAAACTGTAATTATCCCTCCTTAAATAAATACATATGTTGATCGAACAATCTGTTTACTCAATAACTATAATTCTGAAATACCAGATCTGTAATTTGATAAGTTTAAAATCAATTAATATTAAGTTTATCTTTTACCTTGTCTTCTGATACTTTGAACGATTATTTATATATTTTTATACAAGGAGCATTGAATTTATACCTTTTCTAAATAAGAATATTATATTCAAAGAGGGTAGGAATGTAATTTTCGCTACACCCAGGGCCTGTATATAAAAAAGAAGAAACCCTCATTTTCGTAATTTCGTCTGCGGCTCCAACTCTGTGTTCTTTGGTTTGAGGTTCGTTCACATATTCGATAATATGTTTATATTGTCAGTATATTTAGATCATTATGCCGTTAGTTCGTTCGTTCGTTCGTTCTACTAGATGGTGAATTGTTTTATTTTAATATATATTTCTGATTTCAGTTAATGGTAGCTTTGTGTTTGTTTTCTTGATTTTACTGTCTGCCTCGCTTACACTGTGCAGTCTTATGGTTAATTTCATGAATGTAATGTTTTTTTTATGGCAGAATTCTGTTGATTTTATTTAGACCTAATTATTGAAAATATTATTTTCGGTTAATAATCAAAAATCAAACTATGTGTTGTAGTATGTGAATCAGTGGATGTATAAAGTCTCATCATCCAATATATTGCTACTTACTCTGTATATGTTTCCGAGTCTTTGTTTGCATAGTTTGTTAGTATATAAGTTACCCGCTAGTGCTAACAAACTAACTTATATAGTTTGTTAGTTTAAAAGTAGATATATGATTTTTTTTATTTATTTTTTGTAAAATGACAAAGTAGAATGAATTTATTTGCAAAAGGAACAAAAAAAGGAGGAACAGTTTGCTTCTAAAGAAATTGAGAAATGGTCTGCAATTTTAAAACCTACTTGAATTTTGATGTTCAATAAATATATATGTAACTATTTTAGTTCATATTATTTTGTACACCAATAAGTTATGCAAGCAGGGGAATCCGCCTCCGCTACTCTGTTGGATAACGTTTTGGTTTCCTAAAATTTTATTATGCTACAACTTCACACAGTAAAAATCCCATCTCCGTCCTTAA